CTTGTTATCTCAGATTCTCCAGCATCTGCAGTTCCCACGATCTCTCTCATCAAATACTGTTCTTGTTTGCTGCAGAATTACCATTCAAGAGGGAGAGCTGTCCAAAAACCTTCGAGGGTTGGAAGATCTGAAGAAGATCTGGAGGCTACTCATCGAAGAAGAGAAAAGGTTGAGCCGGGAATTGAAGAGGTGTCCAGTGCAGAGTTAGAGCTTGAGAAAGCCTGACTAATATTAACTCAATCCCCTCCTCCTCCTGGCTTCCCCTTTCCTCCTCCTTCCCTCTACCCTTCTCTTCTCCATCTTCTCCTCCCTGTCTCTTCCTTCATGTTCCCTCCTCTTCCTCCCCTCTCACCTTTACCAACTTTGGTTAGACATATTCCTAGAGGTTCTGTACATTCTCCAACTGCCCGAACCTCTCCAACAGTTTTTAAACTCCAGCTTCTATATTTATCTAAGCAATAAAAGAAAATCTTTAAAGAAAAATAAATTCAATCATTTGGTTGAAATCCTCTTTGGGTCCAGTGCAGTCCTGGAGGATTACCAAGTTCCTCTGGCCCATGTAGGAAAAAACTCAAAACCTGTCAAAATTTCATTTCAGCATGAAGATTTCCCCAAACATTCACACTTAGCAGCAAATCAATGATATTGTTTAGATGGGATGTTAAACTGAGATCCGGGCAAGCCTCTTCGGTCAAAGGGCTGGGGACTGGCAGATAGAGTTTAATTTGGATAAATGTGAGGTATTGCATTTTGGTAAAATGAACAAGGGCAGGACTTATACAATTAAAAGCTGGGTATTGGGTAATGTTGTAGACCAGGGAGACCCATGGATTCAGGATCATAATTCTTTGAAAGTTGTGTCACATGTAGACAGGGTGGTTAAGGAAGCATTTAGCATGCTTGCCTTCATTGCTCAGACCTTAGACTGTAGGAGTTGGGATGTCATGTTGAGGTTGTACAGGATGTTGGTGAGGCCTCTGCTGGTGTACTGTGTGCAGTTCTGGTAGCCCAGTTATAGAATGCTTTCTGGTATTTCTGGCTTCTAAGTACTGTATGTCCGCTAGTCCTTCGTGGTTCAGAGAACATTTTTCTTCCTCAAACAACTCCAAGAGTCTCTTTATAACTCCAGCCAACAGAGAGATTGCCCCCTGATTCCCACTGAGTTTGGTTTTGCTCAACTTCCTTGACGCCACATTCAATTATTACAGCAGGTTAAAGCTTGCCAACCTGAAAATGACCTGTTTATCAAAACTCTCTGATGTTGTCCAACCAATCTTCTATCCATGCTAATGTGCCACCCACTACATCGTGAGCTTTTGTTTTTTGTATTTTTAAATTGAAAATTATAGAATCATAGTCATAGAGTCACACAGCACGGAAACAGGCATAGGGTCATACAACACGGAAACGGACCCTTCCGTCCAACCCGTCCACGTTGACCACATTTCCCGAACTAAACTAGTCCCACTTGCCAGTTCTGAGGAAGGGTCACTGCACCCGAAATGTTAACTCTGATTTTTTCTTCACAGATGCTGCCAGACCTGCTGAGCTTTTCCAGCAACTTCTGTTTTTGTTCCTGATTTACAGCATCCGCAGTTTTTTCAGTTCCCACTTACCTGTGTTTGGCCCATATTCCTCCAACCTTTCCTATTCATGTACCCATCCTTTTAAATCTTTTAAATTTTGCAATTCTACCTGCCTCCATCATTTCATCTGGCAGTTCATTCCACATATGCACCACCCTCTGTGTGAAAACATTGCCGCTCAGGTCCCTTTTAAATCTTTCTCCTCTCACCTTAAACCTATGCCCTCTAGTTTTGAACTCCCTCACCCTGGGGAAAAGACCTTGGCTGTTCATCCTATCCCTGCCCATCATGATTTGATTAACCTCCATAGGGTCACTTAACTTCCTAACTTCTCTTAACATCTTAAGCTCCAGTGAAAAAAAGTCCCAGCCTATCCAGCCTCTCCTTCTTTCTCTTTAAACTATGTTCTCAAGTTGAAGATTCCCCAGGTGCAGAAACATCTTCTCAGGCCCTGACAAGCTTCCTCAGAAACTCTCCCCTCTCTTGATGGGTGTTTTTTATAAAAAGTCACCATGCTCATCCTCAGGAAGAACCTGGTCTTCCATAATGAAAGGTGGGAATCCAACCATTATACAAAGGAGCAGCTTGATCAGTGATTTACCCAGTTCCACTTAATACACTTTCCTAGGAAAAACTTCAGATATGAACACTTCAATTGATCCCTAGATTCAATGGCTTTGAAGGGAAGAAAGTGTTAGATTTCTAGATTGTAAACATGAACAGGCTGGGATGATGGATCAGTGGTTAGCACTGCTGCCTCACAGTGTTGGGGACCTGGGTTTAATCCCAGCCTGGAGTGACTCTCTGTGTGGAGTTTGCACATTCTCCCTGTATCTGTGTGAGTTTCCTGTGGGTGCTCTGGTTTCCTCCCACAGCCCAAAGATGAGCAGGGTAGGTGGATTGGCCATGCTAAATTGCCCGTAGTGTCCAGGGATATGCAGGCTAGGAGGATTTGCCATGGGAATTGCAGGGTCATAGAGCAGTGGGGATGGGTCTGGCTGGAATGCTGTTCAAAGGGTTGGTCTGGACTCAATGGGCTAAATGGCCTGCTTCGACACTGTAGGGACTCTATGAGGGCCTTCTTGATTATCACCCCTGAACTGCTTAATTTTAATCCCCTCTTATTCTGGACTCTTACACACACACGCTGGAATTTTTAAGTTAAAGAAGGAGCTGGGTTCTTACCTTTGAGACCTTTAAACAGAATTGGACACTGTGGAGGACTGAGTGCATTACTTCCACCTCCAATTCTGTTTTGCATTAGTCCCATGCCTTGTTTCCTTCCCTTTTTGTTTGTTGTTACACTGCCTCTGGTGTGCAGTTTGATTAATTGGGTGGTTGGTTAATTTGGTGATGAGTCTGTTTTCAAAAATCTCTTTCTCCAACACTTTTTGGATTGAGTTCGGTCCCTTGACTTCCCTATCCTCGTTTTACTTTTGTAATTATCACACTGCCCCCGGAAGGCATTGTTTGTAATTAGGTGATTAGTTAATTTGGCAGCAGATTCTTAAAATAAACCTGGGTTCTTCTGGAGTGGAGAGCTAGCTTCTGGACAGGGAAAGGTGGAAACTGTTGTTTGTACTAATTTATAGATTTACATTAAAACACTTACAAATCTCTGAAACCATATTGCTGTCATATTTAACGAATGGAAATCAGTCTGTTCGACATCCAATGCTCTTTTTTTCTTTATTCTTACATTGAATGTGAGCATAACTGGCATTCCCAGCATTGGTTGCCCATCCCTAGCTGCCTTTGATTGATTGGTTCATTTGATTGGTTGTCTAGGCCATTTCAGAGGTCAGTTAAGGGTCAACCATGTTGCCACAGGTTTGGAGTCACATACAGGCTAGACAAGGTAAAGATGTAGATTTCTTTCCCTAAAGGACATCAACGAACCAGATGGAGTTTTACGACTATTGACAATGGTTAGATCGTTGCCGGGCAGCTTTTCTATTTCTAGGTTTAATTTAATTAAAATATCTCCATCTGTCATGGTGGGATTCAAACCATGTCCCCTGAACATTAGCTTGGTTCTGAATGATTGCTCTAGTGGCACTGTCTCCCCTAAACTAAAATTCTTTACTAGAACATTATAGTATTCTATGTGTGCACGAAAAAATTCCATGACGTTAGTTTGAATGTGACAATGATCTTCAATCCTGTTCATAGAATCCCTACAGTGAGGAAGCAGGTCATTCAGCCCATCAAGTCTATACCGATCCTCAAAACAGCATCCTATTCTGACCCTACCCCTGCATTTCCCACAGCTAATCCATCTAGCCTGCACATCCCTGGATACTACAAGCAATTTAGCACAGCCAGTCCACCTAACCCATACATCTTTAGACTGCGGGAGGAAACTAGAGCACCCAGCAGAAACCTACGCAATGTGCAAACTCCACACAGTCACCTGAGGGTGGGATCAAACCCGTGTCCCTGGTGCTGTGAGGCAGCAGTGATAACCACTGAGCCACCATGTTCTGCCATTCAACATGATTTTGATTGATCAGACTGTGGCCCTAACTCCATTTTCCTGTCCCTCTGTGACCCCTGACAATCAAAAATCTTGGTTTGCCTTTTCAATTTCCTTAATAACCAACAACACCTCTTTTAACCATCTCACTTTCAATCCCTCCATTTACTCCCTATCTCTGTACATACTTTGCCCTCCTCCAATCCCAACATCCTCTGCAGCACCCATTTTAATTGTACTATTATCAACAATATTCCCCCCTAGATTCTGTAACTGCTTCCGATAGACCTTTACTCCCGCCCCCTTCCTGCCGGATAGTTGACATTCGCTTTAACCAATCAATGTGAGAAATAGGCGGGGAAGCGGTTGATTGATGTCTCTGTTTTCCAGTCCGTGTGAAGGATGGGCGGGATAATAACCGACATGTACACAATTTCACCAATCAGTTTGAAGATTGGTGGTTTATTGACGTTCATTTTATCCAGTCAGCGTAAGGGACGGATGGGAGCCACGCCCACTACAAGTTGATTGACATCAACTTTTACCAATCACCATGGGAAAGGCGGGTTGATAATTGACATCCATTGTTTGCATTCGGTGTAAATAGAAGGCAGGATATCCGCTGAGATGTGGTGTTTGACGTTGATGACAGCCTATCACTGCAAAGGATAAGCATACCAGTTGTGACTGACAGTCATATTCATCAATCAACACCGAAAACGGTTAGACGTCCCACCCTCCACCTGCAGTTTGGGACCAATCAGCAAATAGGAATCCCCAACGGGTTGGAGGGGTGAAGATGGCGGCGGCGGCTGGGGCCGGCCGTGTGATGGGCGCCGTCAAGGTGGTGAAGCCGTTTATGTCCCGGAATCAGAGCGAAGCTAAACGCCGGGTGCGAGAGCTTTATCGAGCCTGGTACCGGGAGGTGCCCAACACCAGTAAGGAGCGGGGGGTGTGCTGCTGCGGGGGCAAGTGGCTGGAGCCTCGGGCCGGTCACTGGGGGCTGTCCGGCAGGAGCTGGCCTTCCCTCCGAATGTCGGCGCTGAGCTCGGGTCATCCGGGGGCTGGAGACATCACTGCTCGACCGTGCGTGTGTGGGATTAGGGTGGGGTGGTACCTGACATCATTTCATTCCTATAGCGCCGTTCACTCCTTTACTGAATGAAATGGTCCAGAGTCTATCGGCTATTCCGCCCCTCAATATGATCACAGCCTCCATGACCCGACTCCAACACGCTACTGCCCCAAATCTCGTAACGCCCTCTGGGCACCTTCCAAACCCGTGACCTCTACCACCTGGAAGGACAAGGGGAATACTAAAAACTGCAAGTTCCCCTGCAAGCCACACACCATCCTGACTTGGGAAATATTATCACTGTTCCTTCGGTGTCATTGGGTCAGAATCCTGCAACTGCCTCCCTCAGTCAGTGTGGTGTTCCTACCCCCAAGGAATACAGAGCTTCAGGAAGGCAACTTACCATTCACCTTCGCAAGGGCAGTTAGGGACAGGCACTAACTGTTGATCCAGCCAGGAACGCTCACGTCCAGTGAACGAATATACAAAGAAAATCTGCCCTCACAAAATGTTCCTTTCGGTATCCAGTTAGCCAAACCATGCCTTTTACTATGTGCTTTTATAAAAGACTTGTTGGTTTTCCTTAATCTTTGCCTCTTTGCTGCTGTTGGCTCTTGCCTGCACTTTCAATATTTAGTCTAATTTCTTATTATGTCATGAATATTTTGTCATAAGACTCCATTGATTGTGTTTTAACAACTTATTTATGTAGCACTTTGACATATAAAATGTACCAATGAGCTTTTCAAGAGCATTTCAAAAGAAAATATGACAACCACATAACGAGAAATTATGTCAGATGATTAAAAGCTTGGTCAAAGAGATAGCTTTTAAAGAACATTTAAGAGAAAAGTAGGTCAGAGGTTTGGGGAGGGAGTTCTAGAATGTGGTGATGGTAGTATGGCAGTGGCAAAGCAACTGAACGTAGCTTGGTTCAAATTGGAATGGAGCAGCTGGAACTGGATTTCATCAATGTACATGTGAAACTTGAACTCTAGCTGTGAAGATGGGATTTTGTCTTCATAAGGTCTTCCTAGCAATATTGCCTTGGAAAAGGGTCCTGAGTACTACATGGATTGGTGAGGGTAGAGTCAAATAGGTTTTTCTCTCTTGATGCTTTCACCACCTATTCCAGGCCTGATAAGTCCTTCATGATTTGACCAGCTCAATCATTCTTTTAAAATCCTTTATTATCCTCAGTACATCTTCCAGGCAATGTTCAATGTGGAGGAAAAACTGATTCTTAAGCTGAGGGAGGGTAGTGGGTGGTAGGTGGTCATCAGCTGGAAGTATCCTTGCCTGCATTTGATGTTGTGCTCTGAGAGATATTGGAGTCAGGAATCAATGTTAAGGACTCCCAGGGCCACAACCTTCTGACCACTGTGTTGCTTCTGTCCTGCTAGAGGACAGACTTAGGAATGATAATGGAGGAGTCTGGGGCATTGGATACAAGGTTCGATTCTGCAGTTATGACTGTGACATGCTGTTGCTTGACTAGTTTTGGTTTTCTAAACAAGTCAGACATCTGGCTGATCATAATGAAATATCCTTTAACTTATTGGTACTTCAAAACAGTAGGCAGGAGAGAAAGAAGTAGAGCAGACATTGAGAGGGTCAGATGAAGTGTTAGGATGTGGAGTGTAAACACTGGTGGGCAGCAGCTAGACTGGAAGACCTGATTCTGTATATTAAATGTAACTGTTCTGGGAGATGGAACTCCGCAATATTTGACTGGATCTAACATTTAATTCTCTCTACAGTACAGAAATTCTATCTGGATATCTCAGTAAAACAGGGACGAGATAAGGTGCGGGAAATGTTCATGAAAAACGCCCATGTCACTGACCCCCGGATTATCGACCTGCTGGTGATAAAGGTCTCGAATTCTGTAATTGTGTAGAGAAGCTGACAATATGATGAAAAGCATTGTGAAGCAGGAGGTTAAACAGACCCTTTGGTCCAATTCATCCATGCTGACTAGGTATCCTAAATTAATCTAGTCCCATTTGCCAGCATTTGGCCCATATCCCGGTAAACCTTCCTATTCAGGTACCCATTCAGATGCCTTTTAAATGTTGTAATTGTACCAGCCTCCACCACTTTGGCAGCTCATTCCATACGTGCACCACCCTCTGTGTGAAACAGTTATTCCTTAGGTTCCTTTAATCTTTCCCCTCACCTTAAACTATGCCCTCTAGTTTTGGATTCTCCTACCCTGGAAAAAGAACTTGGCTATTCACCCTATCTATGCCCCTCATGATATTATAAACTTCTGTAAGGTCATTCCTTAGCGTCCAATGCGCTAGGGAAAATAGCCCCAGCCCATCTAGCCTCTCCCTATAACTCAAACCCTCCAAACCTGGCAACATCCTTGTAATCTTTTCTGAACCCTTTCAAGTTTCACAACATCCTTCCAACAGCAGGGAGACCAGAATTAAAGGAAGTATTCCAAAAGTGGCCTAACAAATGTTCTTTACAGCCCCAACGTGACCTCCCAACTCCTATACTCAATGCACTGACCAATAAAGACAAGCATACCAAACGCTTTTGTAAATGTTAGAAATAGTAGTCACAGTTTTGTCGTCATCCATACCTGAAAGTGTGAATAGGTATTTGATGTTGCTGAAATGGGAGCCATTGAGCACAGAGGTGATAGATGAACAGGACTCTGTGCGTCAGAGGCATTGAACCTATTATTTACATATCCTGGTATCATGAGGGCCCCTGCCACGACACTGAAACAACATTAACCAATAATCAGAAATAGCATTCACGGTACACCAGCCTCCACGGGTGACTGGCTCCTAATGGAAATGACCTCCCCCTTGTCAGTCTGATAATAGCCAGGCCACCTCCAGCATGTTCTTCCCTCCTACTCCTGCATCTTTGCCACTAAATTACCCAAAGATCTGTCCTTGACCCTTTCATCTTCCTGATGTGTGCTGTCACTTCCACGATTATCTGTGATACAGGGATGATTTCTGCAGCTCCTGTTCGGTTCGCTCGTTCCAACTTGCAACCATTGACGAGCTGCAGTTTCTTTAGTAAAATGCAGTGAAGCCCAAAGCTGTCATCTTTGAGCTGACAGAAACTCCAAACGCTTGTGATCACTGTCATCGCCACCTCAGTCTTTGGGATTTTAGGTTGGAAAAAGACTGTTCATAACTGAAATATCTTATCTCTTCCAGCACTTCATTTCCTGTCTATAATCGAGACTGTTTACTTCTACTTCCAAAGCCTCTGTCTCTGTCCCTGCCTCAGTATGTCTGCTAAAACCCTCTTCCAGATGTGACTATTCCACTACTGCCTTGGATGACCTTACATCCTCCACCCTCTAAACTTTAGATCTTTGTAAACTCTGCTGTCCATATTTTTAACACATTTAAAGTCTTGAGAGAGAGACCCCTGAAATAAAGTTTGGCTGTGTGAGGGCTTGGAAAAAGTACGTCGGGTCAGCAAGAGAGCATTGAGAAAGCAAGCCCTGGAATAAAATAACAATAGTGCAGGAATGAGAGAAAAATAAATGCAGGGACAAGTCTGAAAAATGTCATGGTTGCACAGAGGGAACCTGAGGAAAGTAAGTTGTATTTAATTTAATCCACACATTTTAAATAAAGACCAGTCTTTCTAATTCAAAGAATTAGGGTGTCATATTACAGCTGTACAGGACATTAGTTAGGCCTCTTTTGGAATACTGCGTTCAATTCTGGTCTCCCGGCTATAGGAAAGATGTTGTTAAACTTGAAAGGATTCAGAAAAGACTTACAAGGATATTGCTGGGATTGGAAGGTTTGAACTGTGGGGAGAAGCTGAATAAGCTGGGGCTATTTTCCCCAGAATGTCAGAAGTTGAGGGGTGACCTTATAGAGGATTATAACATCATGAGGGATATTGATAAGGTGCATAACCAAGGTTTCTCTTTTCCCCCAGGGTGGGGGATTCCAAAACTAGAGGGCATAGGTTTAAGGTGAGAGGGGAAAGATTCGAAAGGGACCTAGGGATCAACCTTTTCATGGAGGATAGTGCTTGTATGGAACAAACTGCCAGAGGAAGAGATGGAGGCTTGTACAATTACTATACTTAAAAGGTATCTGGATGGGTATATGAATAGGAAAGGTTTAGAGAGATATGGGTCAAATGCTGGCAAATGGGACTAGATTAATTTAGGATACCTGGTCAGCATGACGAGTTGGACTAAAGGGTCTGTTTCTGTGCTATACAACTCTGACTCTATAATGTTAATAATTAAGTATTTGCTTGATAGTACAGAATTTAAATGTCTCTAAAAGAGGTACATGGTTGAAGCTTATAGTCTAACACTCATTTTAAATAGGGCACTGCTCTTAGTAGAATATGCCCACACCTTGCAGCTTTCTCCAAGGCTAATCCCTGCTGCATCCCCGTGACCAATCAGTCATCTTGTCTGATGTGGATTTCTTTGGATAACTAAGACAGTAAACAGTTCCTGCCATGTATCTCCAACCAATCAGCACCCTCTTCCCATGATGTATAAATTATTCTTCCCATTATGAAAGGAGCTATCTTGTGTTGCAATGGTAGAGTCCCTACCCCTGAACTGAGGGGCCTTGAATCAAGTCCCACCTGCTCCAGAGGTGTGTAAAAACATCTGAGCAAGTAGATTCCTTTGTAAAGTTGGTTTTTTTGATTGTCCTGATGAATGTCACATAGAACATTACAGCGCAGTATAGGCCCTTCGGCCCTCGATGTTGTGCCGAACTGTGAAACCGATCTGAAGCCCATCTAACCTACACTATTCCATTATCATCCATATGTTTATCCAATGACCATTTAAATGCCCTTAAAGTTGGCGAGTCTACTACTGTTGCAGGCAGGGCATTCCACGCCCTTACTACTCTGAGTAAAGAACCTACCTCTGACATCTGTCCTATATCTATCACCCCTCAATTTAAAGCTATGTCCCCTTGTGCTAGCCATCACCATCCAAGGAAAAAGGCTCTCACTGTCCACCCTATCTAATCCTCTGATCATCTTGTATGTCTCTATTAAGTCACCTCTTAACCTTCTTCTCTCTAATGAAAACAGCCTCAAGTCCCTCAGCCTTTCCTCATAAGACCTTCCCTCCATACCAGGCAACATCCTGGTAAATCTCCTCTGCACCCTTTCCAATGCTTCCACATCCTTCCTATAATGCGGCGACCAGAACTGTACGCAATACTCCCAATGCGGCTGCACCAGAGTTTTGTACAGTTGCAACATGACCTCATGGCTCCAAAACGCAATCCCTCTACCAATAAAACCTAACACACCGTACGCCTTCTTAACAACCCTATCAACCTGGGTGGCAACTTTCAGTGATCTATGCACATGGACACCGAGATCTCTCTGCTCATCCACACTACCAAGAATCTTACCATTAGCCCAGTACTCTGTATTCCTGTTACTCCTTCCAAAGTGAATCACCTCACACTTTTCCGCATTAAACTCCATTTGCCACCTCTCAGCCCAGCTCTGCAGCTTATCCATGTCCCTCTGTAACCTGCAACATCCTTCCGCACTATCCACAACTCCACCAACTTTAGTGTCATCTGCAAATTTACTAACCCATCCTTCTACGTCCTCATCCAGGTCATTTATAAAAATGACAAACAGCATTGGCCCCAAAACAGATCTTTGTGGTACACCACTAGAAACTGAACTCCAGGATGAACATTTCCCATCAACCACCACCCTCTGTCTTCTTACAGTTAGTCAATTTCTGATCCAAACCGCTAAATCATCCTCAATCCCATGCCTCCGTGTTTTCTACAATAGCCTACCGTGGGGAACCTTATCAAATGCTTTACTGAAATCCATATACACCACATCAACCGCTTTACCCTCATCCACCTGTTTGGTCACCTTCTCAAAGAACTCTAAGGTTTGTGAGGCACGACCTACCCTTCACAAAACAGTGTTGACTATCCCTAATCAAATTATTCCTTTCTAGATGATTATAAATCCTATCTCTTACAATCCTGTCCTACACTTTACCCACAACCGAAGTAAGGCTCACTGGTCTATAATTATCAGGGTTGTCTCTACTCCCCTTCTTGAACAAGGGGATAACATTTGCTATCCTCTAGTCTTCTGGCACTATTCCTGTAGACAATGACGACATAAAGATCAAAGCCAAAGGCTCTGCAGTCTCCTCCCTAGCTTCCCAGAGAATCCTAGGATGAATCCCATCTGGCCCAGGAGACTTATCTATTTTCACACTTTCCAGAATTGCTAACGAAAAGCTTTGACTGCAAGTACCTTTTAGTTTTGGTTAAACAAACACTAATTAAATAATAAATCGAGTATGATTTAACATTAATCACCTAAGTGTTACTGAGACCACAAATGATTCTACTATTCTTTAAGCTTCTGCCAGTGATAAATTAAAAGATTAGCAATGGCAGCATAGCTATTGTGGTTGCTGTTTATGGGGAGCTGTGGACAGTGAAACTGTCCTGGATAACAATACCTGTACAAAATGTTTTTGTGTTGAGATACTCCAGAATAATTCTACAAAAGGGCGTATGTGACTGTCCAGAGGCAAGGTACAGGGAGTTGAGGGTGCTGGGTGAATAGATCAGAAATGTCATAGCCAGATGTCATTTGATCATTTGAGCTGACAATGACCTCCGCAATCAAAACCAACCCCGATTCAAAGGTACTGGACATTGTGGTGCAAATGGAAAGGCAATTGGAAAGTGGAGGCCTATACCCAGTTGATCCTGATGTGGCTTAAACCGAAAAGACTCAAAAGATCGGAGGTAGACCAGCAAAAGAAATGTCAGGAGCTTGATAAATTAAAAAGCAGGACCAAATGGCTTTCCAGCTTAATGAGGAAGCAAAGCATGAGTTAATCGGCATTAGATCAGCAGAACATGTGTACTGACACTACAGGGTTGGGTAAGAGAAGTAACTACAGGGAAACATCCAGGTAATAGTACTAATGTCATATGGTCTGAGATAACTGACAAAACCAAAGTTCCAAGTAACCGATTTGTGGGGATAAAGTCACTTTTAAGGGATGAGAATGACTAGGAAGGGAGAACAATAAAAAAACAAGTGGGAAAAGTTCAAAAATGAATACGAGATAAATATATTCAACCAAAACCAAGGATGGACAAGCTGATAATGAACAGAAGGGGAAATGTTAGAACTAAAATGAAAGGGAAAAAGTCAAACAGTAAGTTAATTGACAATAAGGTTGGTTGGCTCGCTGAGCTGGTTTGTTGTTCAGCAGACATTTTGTTACCATGCTAGGTAACATCCTCAGTGCAGCCTCCGATGAAGTGTCGGTGTGTTTTCCTGCCTGGTTTTTAAACTCTAGTGGAGTGTATATGGGGTTGAGTTCTGTATTTATCGATGTTATTATTTATTGTTATTATCAATAAACGAATAGAACTCGACCCCATATACACTCCTCCACGAACGAAGTGAGGTAATCCAGCTCAACGGACTCGAGTTTAAAAACCAGGTGGGAAAAACACACCGACGCTTCATCGGAGGCTGCTACCCAGCATGGTAATGAAATGTCTGCGGAATAACAAACCAGCTCGGCGAGCCAACCAAGCTCGACACCCACAACCCGAGCTACAAGTCTACTCAAACCTCATTGACAATAAAAAAGGGAGAGGATGACAAAAGGAAAACCAAAGTTTAGGAAAGAGAAGGAAGACAAAGAGGAATTTAAAAATTTAAGTTATCACTGAATGTCCAAATAAATAGTTTTGAATTGATATTAGGCAAATAGTTAGGAATTGATTCAAAGCAGTGGAGATAGTGGGCAGTAGATTTAGTTTTGGCCTCCTTTTCTGCCTGGTTCTTTGATCACTCATGTAATTGATTTCTTTTTCAGGGTAAAATGGATCTGGAAGAAACTATACAAGTTTGGAAGCAGCGGACACACATCATGCGTTACTTCCACGAGACAGAAACACCCCGACCCACAGACTTCCTCTCCAGATTCTACATAGGGCACGATGTATGAATAATAAGGGAAGTGGCCATTGTAAAATAAATGTATTCAGAAATAATTTGAAAAAAAATTGAATGGATTTAATAGTCTGTAATTCAAGGGAGCTTGGTGGTTGCTCCTGATTACTGAGAATGATACCATTAAAAGGTTACAGATATTTTCTTACATTTCCTTTAGTTAGTGTTGCAATGTTTTCCTAATGGCAGAGGGAGAGGTATGGAGTAGGTCACATCTGCCAAGGCTCAGTAACATTCTTGCCTCTTAAGAAGTGATTTGAGCTCTGTTTTCAGACTAGTAGGTCCAAAGCAGTATTGTCAGTGGTGTTATCTTTCAGCTGAGAAATTGAAGTGAGGTCGTACCACAGCAACAATAAGACTTTAGGACTTTCTGGAATTGTGAAATGCACTTTTTTTTAAAAAAAAGTCAAAACTATAATGGTTTACTTTCATGTACAGTAGTATAATTTAAAACTTATACACTATATCTTTAACACTGAGCAAGGCTCATCTCCAGTTTCCTGGGAGCTGGTTGCAATTACACACATACCTAGTGAAGATTCATTTGTGGAGGCTGTAACAAAATCAGGAAACTAGTGTGAACTGTATTACTTGAGGATATCAGCACAATGTAAATGTGTGACCGTCTCATGGACAGATGCTACAGAAGGTCTTCTGTGATACTTAGAGGTTGCTGAATGGCTCCCAACATCAGGTGATTAAAAACCTAATTACAGTGTTGAACCAGTTTAGAAAGTCACAATCTCCCATCACTTGCAAGCAGGTAAATATATGGGAAGAGGGCAAGCAAAACAATTTTAAAAATGGACATCGTTTCCAGTTTTACAAAACAAAGAAGCCTTTCAAAGATGTATTTGCAGGTCAGCACCCATAGATGACAGTGTGGACCAGTGTCCATCAAAAAGGTGCCAGGCTATGTGAAGCTCTCTAATGGTAACATCAATGCCTGAGGATTGAGAAGCAGGAAATTATGCAAGGTTTTGACAGATACAGATAATGTGGGGAAAATAATAAACAGACCATCAGTAATAAGGTAGTCACCAAGGAATTAAGAATCTGGAACAAGGAGAACATGGAAATCACTGCTAGGAATGATGAAGCAAACAGTATCAAATGCAATAATGAGAGATACAGATGCAGGGAATAGAGGATGATGGTGTTAGTTTTATTATGGAAAATTGGGAAAGAAGCTTGAATAGGTTATAAATACAAGCATGGACCAATTGGGCTGAATGTGTAGGGTATACAGTAACAAACCAAGCCAATGTTTAAATCTGCAGTATTGTCAAAGTTATGAGCCAATGTCACAGCTTTTTCAGTAATATGGTGAAAAGACAAGATTCTGAACAAGATTTATTGCTGTGGATGACAAACTGCCACAGATGGTTCTAGCTCCTTAGACAACATAGGCAGCTGCAACCCAATCAAACAACACACTCAGTAATTCTTCAGACTCAGGAGATGACTAAATAAAATATTTAGCCCTACAACATTGTGCTATTAAAGAAAACATGCAACCCAATAAAATACAGACTGGAATAGTCCCTAGAATCAGAGTGCCCATTCTCATTCACTTGCCACCACAGGAACATGGTCAAAAACCTATTGCATTCACATCTATCTCCAAATACCAAATCTTAGAACAGCTCTGGCTGTTTCAGGAACAAAGTTTACTCAGTTAGGTTTAAGTGCACTTGATACTTATGATGTTCAGTATTTGAATTTCAGAACTTGAATGACTATAAGCAAACAAGGTGTAGAGCTGGATGAACACAGCAGGCCATTCACAGCAGACACTTCAGAAAATCTGAAGAAGGGTCTAGGCCCGAAACATCAGCCTTCCTGCTCCTCTGATGCTGCTTGGCCTGCTGTGTTCATCCAGCTCTACACCTTGTTATCTCAGAATCTGCAGTTCCTACTATCTCTGACTGTAAGCATTTGCTTTTAAGGCTTTTATCCTTTTCTGTTCAAATAATTGAATTTGATTGTATTAAAACTCCCTGAAATGAAGTAAAACATCAGGGCTGTACTGCAAAACGCACTTTATGAATGTTAAATCTAAGGATCATGTGGTCCCCACCCTGCCAGGATCCCTGCCATTAGTGGGCAAATCATGTCCACTCAAAGCTAGGGACTGTTACAGTTCAATTTAAAGAATGCACAGAACATTTACACAGATGACTGCAGCCAGTCTCAATATTTAGGAAAAAAGATAACCTGGTATTGTAGATCCTCATTTGAATCAATGTCTCAAGGAAAATGGAGAAAGGAAAATGTTTTCTCAGAACAGGGAGGAGAAAAAAATTAATCTTCAAAGGGAACCTAATTGAAAAATTCTCAATTTAATGCACTGCACATAACCGATCAGAATGGACACTTTCTTTAAAAGTCCTAATTTTCCCTCAAGCACACAGTATATACAACATATGCAAAATATTGTTACGAAGTTTTCATTCTCTCTTCAGTGTTCATGTCTTCTCCTAGCCAGAGGCGGCTTTGGATACAGGAATATGTACAGTTAGTCATTACTGTGGTGTGCAGTCCAATGAGAGCAAGCTCTAGACACAGCAGAAATCTGAAAGACAAAAAAGATTGAGAGGGTGTTTCACTTTGTTTCTAAAGTTTTTATTCCCCAGGTTGTTGACTTGGAGGCGAGAAGGTGGCCATGTTGAGCAAATGGCTGAAACATTAATTGTAGGAGGGGGTAAGATTCTAACCTTTCCAGAGATAATGGCTTAAACAGGGGATGCTGGATGGAAGGTCCTTAATGGCAAATTTTACCTTTGTATGACCCAGCCAACGATTCTAATGAAAGCATGCTTTTGGTCAGGGTCAGAAATCTCAGTCTCTGTACTAGCTTAGCCCTGTGGTTCTAGGTGCTTCAACTTCAGGCAGTTCAGACCTAGAAATCAGCCCTGAGCCACATTTTGTCTTGCACTCAACAGGACAATTTGCAAGAATACAAATTTAAAAAGGGAAAATCCAACGTTCATACTGAGAGAAGAGTGCTGATTGATCAGCACGTGAACCTGGACTGGTGGCAGGCATTTCCATGGAAAATGCAATAGAACCATACATCACAGAAACAGATACTTTGGTCCAACCAGTCCATGCCGAACATCATTCCAAGCTAAATTAGTCCCACATGCCTACTCCTGCCCATATCCCTCCAAGTCTTTCCTATTCATGTACTATCCAAAATGTCTTTTAAACATTGTAACTGTATCCTCATCCACCAATTCCTCAGGAAGTTCATTGCACCAGCAAACCACCCTCAAAAAAATTTGCCCCTCATGTCTTTTTTAAATCTCTCCTCTCACCTTGGTCTTGAAACTCCCCATCAATTGAACTCCCATCTCTTGTTGTTTTTCAAAGTTGAAACTTACGAGAAACAATGTTTCTGTAATTCCATTTTAATTAAGAGACACTGTTAGTGTTGTAATCTGTTGTTTCCAGAGCCACCTACTGTGTGAACCATTAGGATGAAGACAGTTGCAGGTAATTTTAGGGTGGTTAGAACTAGGTTCCCTTTAGTAATGTCTTGCTGTCACTCAAATAAATAGAATCAATTTGATTTTATAACCAATGCATCAAAATAAATCAATTGGAATTAAGTATAAAACCACAGTTGGTGTATAGGAATTCTAACTGTATTACACTCCTGTACTGCAGTGAGTCCTGAACTGTGTATCAATAATACACGAGTGTGACAGAAATTCCACCAATGTATCCACTGCACCCTTTAAATCAATGCTTAAATCAATGCTAGGACCATCAGTCAAATGGTAGTCTCCTTCTTAAATTCAATTCCACAAGTGTCCAGGTAAAATTCCTGCAAAACCAAGGTGTTTCTCAGTTGTCCAGCGTTCCAGGGGAGGGCAAAGAAAACACTTCATATACTCTTAAAGTGTAGTGACATTGACATTAATGACTGGGAGGAACTTGTTACCAATCATGCAAAATTGAAATAAGTTGTCCACCAAGCTGCCGAACAATTGGAGTCCAAATACCTTTAGTTGAGGCACAGCAGCACAGAACAGAACTAAAGAAAGTAAATCCTGCACTCTCAATCCCACTATTTTGTGGGACCGTCTTGCCTCACATGGCCAAAGATCTTTGGGTTCAGAATTGACCAGTTCGGTCATTACAGACCATGACAGAAACTCACGAGCCCAAGTTGATGGTATCCCTCAATTGAAGTCAGAGGGCGATACATATTAGATAGTTCATATCCTGAATGCGTAACTTGAAATGTAACTTTAATAATGCAGATGGTCAAAGGATCGATTTCTGTAATTCAATGTAATACAAATTCCATTTGTCAGTGTCAGCACAATGGAATGATAACTAGAATGAATAGTCTTTCACAGTTGCTGGAAGCTGTCCCATCACCTCAACTCCCAATTAAAATAAACTAGCGATTGATACAATTGGACTGAGCTGACCAAGATGCTAAACTCAAAGTGACCTGATGGTCAAACAGGCTTAACAACCAGGGCACCACAAAGTGCAAGATTTCTCACACAATGTGCTTTTGCCTCAAGACTAGAAGAGGCAGCTTTTGCACTGACTGTGACTAAACATTGATCAGAAGGTAAAATGAAAGAGCTGGAAAGTCATTGCCTGAGGTCATTAAGTGTGCTTTTACTTATTAATTTTTGGAATTACGTCACCTAAATTGGTTTTAGTCTTGTTGGGACTAGAGTCTAGAGTGAATTCACCTTCACCACAGTTGTGGTGAGCTGTACAGAATATGGTGTTGAAAGCCATTTTGGCAGTGATGAAAGATGTGAGATTTATAGAAACAACACTATTTTTTCTTTTAAAAAGAAAAAGAGTTTAGATTTCATAGTAGCAGAAATGGTTGTTTTTTGTTTTTGTGAAAGGATTTGGAAATCAACTGGGTTGGTCTTTCCAGAACCATGACTTAAAACCAGTATGTTTTTCTCTCAGAGTTGCGCAACTTTGAAACTGTCTGCTTAAGGCGGCAGTGGAGGTGGGGTTATTAAATATTTTAAGGCTGATATAGACTGATTTCCATTTCTAAGAATCAAGGTGATTGGGAATGTGGAATTCGAAACACTAACAGATGAGCCATGATCTCACTGATTGGAAGAGTAGGCTCAAGGGCCAACTTTTTCTACTTAGAGTCATAGGGTTCTACACAGCACAGAAACAGACCCTTTGGTCCAAGTCATCTGCGCCAACTAGACATTCTAAGCTGATCTAGTCCCATTTGGCCCATATCCCTCTAAACCCCTCCTATTCATGTACCCATCCAGATGCCTTCTAAATACTGTAATTGTACCAGCCTCCACCAGCTGCTCATACATACATGTACCACCCTCCACATGAAAAAGTTGCCCCTTCAGTCCCTTTTAAATCTTTCCCCTCTCACCTTAAACCTGTGCCCTCTAGTTTTGGACTCCCCTACCCTGGGAAAAAGACCTTGGCTATGCGACAATTTCACATTTATCCAATGAGGAAGTGCCAGCAGTTCATGGTGAAATTGATGTAAATGTTTCTTTACCTGTTAGTTAATCATCGTCATCATCATCAACTGGGACAAAGATATCATGTTCCTCCAGTAGTGAAGCGAAGCTCTTGCTGATCTGAGTGCCCATGTAAAGAAACGGGATGACCACAATAAAGACTTTCATGAGACCAAAGGGAGTCTGTAGAAGAGAAAACAGAACCTTAAAACACATCCTCATACAACTCAGATGTCAAACCTATACAGTTCCACTGTGATAGAGCATCTGTTTCACATGATCCAAGGTTACATTAGTGGCCTGTTCACAGTTGAGTCTTACCCTCACCATAACTACCAAGTAGTCAGGCAGAAGGCATCAACCCTGGTTCGGTGGATTGCACTCAAGTCAGAAAGGTCAAATCCAGCTGCAGAAACTTCAGGCGATAAGCCTAACACTCTGGTGCAGCAGTGTGGATGTGCTGCCCTGACAGAAAATGCCATCCTTCAGTTGACATGTTAACTAGAGGTCCCTTATGTTCCCTGTGGTGGGTACAGGATCCCATGGTCTTATTTCAATGAGAAGCAAAAAGGGCATTCTCCCCATTGTCCTGGCCTCCAATCCTTCCCACAGCCAACATCACAACAACAAAAAAAAAGGATTGTCATGGCATTATCACATTGCTGTTTGTTGGAGCTTGCTGTGGAAAAATAATCTGCCACATTACAACAGTACAAACTTCTGTTCCTTTTAAACAAAATAGCTTTCTCTTGGCCTTTCACTCTTTGTCTCTTTGCTCAATTTGTCTTCCCTCCATATACTGTGTGCCGTTTATACTGTTGCTGGTCACGTTCTTTGTGACCGACTGACTTCTAGTCCTTTCTCAAGAAAACTGGCCCAGGTATTCAAACTAACTTAATCCTCATTCGCATGCAGTGAGCCAGTTAGAATGGCTATGAGGACAATTGCTACAAATCTTTGCTTTAAAAATGTCAATGTACTTTGCTCATTTGCTGTTGGTTATTATCCTCCACTCTGCTTTGGGAAGTGTGGTATCAGGGGTGGATATATTTCCTATCAAGTGTAAAGGATCTGAGACACTGACAGAGAATATATGGAATGAATGTCATGTGATGCTAGAACATTTGAGTGAGAAATAAAAATCTGTTTTGCAGTTGCTGTAAAATGCACAAGTGGACAGATCTTTGCTGGGTTCTGATTTCCCCTCCCCACTCAGTCACTGTCAATTGAAATGAGTCAGAGGAATTTTCCACCATCGTCTCTCCTGGGAATTGGCTTGGGATTCTGAGCTCAGTGGGCAAAGACAAAAAAAGTCTGAAAATTAGTCAAACACAAATAAGTCTGAAGGTACTTTGGTAACATGCAATTGCAGCACTTTTAGTGAATGTAAATGCTTCTAGGCAATTTGGAATGGGTGGAATTATTCAAATGAGTGCATAAGAAATATTATTTTATTTTCATTACTTTCTTTTACTGCAAGGACTGGTACAAATGGATTCTGTGCACAAAGTGACCATTGCATTCCAGCATTCAAGACGGCCGAAATCCATTCTAATAATAAAACATATCCTAGCTGCAAAGTGAAGGTGTAAACCCATCACTTCACAAACTATTTTCAGTTGTGAGCTCAAATGTAAATCAGGGAAGATTAACATGATTCCAGGAAAAGGTAAGGAATGTCAGATCAGCCATGATCCTGTTGAATGCTTCAGCAGACTCAAGGAACCGAATGGCCTAGTCCTGTTCCTTACAGTCTTATGAAAACAAGACAGTAATAAGATGCAGGTAGTTTGGAATGTCAAGAATTAGTTTTATTCTATTTCTTTTATAGAGATAGGTTGAACAGGATGAAGGTTTCCTCCACTGGAGTTCAGAAGAATGAGAGGTGACCTTATTGAAGCAAATGAGATGCTTAGGAGACCATTAGATTCTGTGACAATGTCAATGATGCCCCTTGTGAGACAGACAAGAACCAGGGGATAACATTTAAAGGGTAGTACTTGTTTATTATGAATGCCATCATCAGGTGGAACAACATGCAGGATGCAGCATTGTGTCCAGTAGTGTCACTAGGCTATGTCAGTGTCTCGACAAAGGTGGATCACTCTTTCATAAGCAGAGATGGTGAGGGCAGCGCAACATGTAGGAGTAGTAGGCCATTCGGGCCATCTTTTTTGCTTGGCTACTCAGTGAGATTATGGCTGATCTGATAAACCTCAACTGCACTCTCCTGCCTTTTCGTTATAACCCTAGATTCCCTTACTGATTAAAAATCTGTTTATCTCAGCTGTGAATATGCTCAACCAACCAGCCTTGACAACTCTGATAAAGATTTCAACAGATTCACTACCCTCTGACACAAGAAATTCCTTTTCATCTGTGTCTTAAATGGACAACCACCGACTCTGAGATCATCAGGTCTGACAGCGTCTGTAGAGAGAAATCAGAGTTAACATTTCAGGTTGAGTAACCCTTCCTCAGAACTCAACCCGAAAATGTTGATTCCAATTTCTTTCCAAAGATGCTGCCAGACCTGCTGAGCTTTTCCAGCAATTTCTGTTTTTGTTTCTGATTTACAGCATCCACAGTTCTTTCAGTTTTTATTGACTGTGGAGATCATGCCCTGTGGTCCTACACCGTCCAACATGGGGAAACAACTGCTCTTCATCTACTCTGTAAAGTCTCCCAAGAATCTTGTGTCTCAGTAACGTAGCATTTTTTCTAAACTCCAATGATTACAGGTCCAGTTTATTTTTCCTACACTCATATCACCAATGCCAGGCATTTATTCAATCATATAAATTTTGTTTCTATACTAGTGGGTAGAATATGAAATACACACATGGGCACTGAATACCAAGACACTGGATAAGGAAGACAAACAACTGTTAGAACAATTTAATGAGATCAATGTTCTCTGAATAGAAGTATGAAGCAAAAGATTTTTGAAAGAAATAAATTATTACTGGGGCAGCATGATGGCTCAGTGGTTAGCACTGCTGCCTCAAAGCGCCAGGGACCTGGCTTCGATTCCACCCTCGGGCAACTGTCTGTGTGGAGTTTGCACATTCTCCCTGTGTCTGCGTGGGTTTCCTCTGGGTGCTCTGGTTTCCTCCCAAAGTCCAAAGATGTGCAGGCTATGTGGATTGGCCATGCTAAATTGCCTGTAGTGTTGAGGGATGTGTAGATTAGGTGGGTTTATAGGGGGATGGGTCTGGGTGGGATGCTTGGAGGTTCAGTGTGGACTTGTTGGGCCAAAGGGCCTGTTGCCACACTGTAGGGATTCTAAAAAAAAAATCTTACTTTAGATAAGAGGGCAAAAACTGTTTACCATACTCTAGACATGGTCTATAGAAACTGTACCTTTTTATATTTCTAAATGGATTATGGAAAGGATTGCTGAAAAGATTACATTCTTAAAAAGCAAATTTACCAAAGCTCATTGCTGCTTTTTTCAACCATTTTTTGTTAGTTGCAGATGAGCTGGCACTCACTTGTACAAAGTGAAATTCAGTTGGCACAAGTAGTTGCTTGGTTTGTGGAGTTGTGACCAGGTGTGGATGATAAATGCCAACTGTCTGCCAACATTGATGTAGTCAGCTCTCAGGTAGTGGAACAGTTTGTGGATGTGAACAATATTGCCAGAAGCCTTTAGTGTTTCTCTCTCTCTCTCTCTGCACAGGCAAATACCTGAAGCAAGCCAGTTTAGTTTAGTTGTTGTAAGCCTGTTGATTTTAACTTTTAGGTCACAAACTATCATGTACCTCCTTCAGGGAAGTACAAAGTACCTGGAGAAGTGAAATTGAAGAACAGTATGCCCTGGAAAGCAAAAGAACCATCTCAGTGAACTTTCCCAGTTTATTTTTCCTACATCCATATCACCAATGTTTTTTTGTCTAGCTGTATGGATAGGGAGAGTTTGAGAAGGGATTAGAGTTTTAACTAATAAAGTTACATGTCAACCATTCATATCTTGGATCTATTTATTTTAAATAAATAGTAACTCTTGGTACATACAAAACCTAACTCTCTTTTCTGTTAACCCAGGTCTAAAGAGAGAAGTAAATTGAAGAACTTTTGAGTTCTTTCATAAAATCTTTTAAGTTTAGAGATGACTTTGTGAATTTCTTGATTTCCAGCACAGTGAAGCATGACAAATAGAAGTAGTGCCTTGTACAGTTTTAGCAAGACTTTCCTATTTTTATACTCTATTTCCTTTGAAATAAAGGCTGAGATTCCACTGGTCTTCCCTATTACCTACTAACCTTGTTTGCCAGCGTTTTGGTGATTTATGCACGAGGTTTCACAAATCCCTGTGTGGCAACTTCCTGCAGTCAGTTCATCTAGATGACATTTAGCTCCTTTATTCTTCCTCATAACCTCACATTGTCCCACATTATATTCCATCTGCTAAGTTTTTATCCCGTTACTTAATCTGTCTAAATCCCCCTGCAGACTCTGTCATCCTCACAGCTTGCCTTTCCACCTATTTTTTGAGTCATCCACAAACCTGGCAATTGTTCATTCATTCCCCTCATCCAAATCATTAATCTATGTAGTAAATAATGGCAGGGAGGTGGGGATGGAGAATAGGTGCAGCAGCAGCTGAAGCCCTGGCACTGCCTCCTGCTTCTGCAAACGCCCCTCCCAGGGGGGTGCAGCGGCTGGACAGGACCAAGACAGTGAGACAGTGGCCGAGGAGACAGAGTCTGCAGGTTCCTTTGGAGAGAGGAAGCTCTGCTTTGTTGGACCCAGCTCCACACCTCAACACCTCAACCTTAGACTCAGCACATACATGCTCACTACCTGCGGCCTGTCATGGCCTGGTTACATCACAGACCACATTGATGCACTCGTGTGGGTCAATGGGAATTATAGATAATCAACCCAGTAAAATAAGACATCTTGCTTTTATGATGATAATGAGGTAAGTTGTTTCTTTCAGAGAACTCCCTTCCCCAGAAAGCAGTGGTAGTTGAGTCATTGGCTATATTCAAAGCAAAATTAGACAAACTTTTGATTGACCTAGCAGTCATAGAGATGTACAGCACAGAAATAGATCCTTCGGTCTAACTTGTCCACGCCAACTAGATATCCTAAATTAAATCTAGTCCCATTTGCCCGCATTTGAACAAAATGCCTTAAATGTCACCAATGTGCCTGCTCCAACCACCACCTCTGGC